AAAGTTACATCAATTTTATATTTTATTAAGTACATACACACTTTGGAAAACCATTTTTTATTACATAAGAATTACTAATATGATTATTAAAATTTTCACTCAACACATAAAGAAGTCACAAAAACAATGTTATTGTTTCTCTAGCTTTTATTATTCTTATTTTTGTTATGAAAATATCTGATTTGATTTGATTGAATTTACAGATTGATATGTATTATCTTATTAACAATCAAGGAGATAAAAAATTATTCAGATAATGATTTGGTTATAAATAAATAAAATTGTAAAAGATATTACCTTCAAAAAAAATTTTGAGATGATTCGGGTAATTCAGACCTTGTTTGGTTAAATTATTTTATCTTTTCTTAACTTGTAAATAAGTTAAATTAAAATTTATTTCAAAATAGTTACAACATCAATTGAGCTCTATTTGCCAATTTTTTAATTGACTAATTTCACGCCAGACGTGCATAAATAATCTTGTTTTAATATATATACTAGATGCTTGGCCCGGGCGGATGCCCGGTCTAGCCTTTAACATTTATTTTTATAAAACAGGTACATTTATACTTTTATGTAAGTATAAAGGGTTAAGTTATAATTATAGGTGGAGAAAAATAAAATTACAACAAAATTGAAGGATATCAACTTAAAATATATAAAATTTGATCACTTCATAAAAGATCTATTCATATTTACAAATCGGTTCCGTCCCTTTTTTTACACCATTCAAGCCATGGGGATACATGTTATATGGCGCCTGCATTTTGTTGGATTCAATTAGATATTCTCCTTTAATAATAAAGAAAAATAGATATTCTCCTGCATTTGTTTTGCGGCAAAACAAACGATAACCAAGCAATACATGTCTCCAAATATTTGGACCAGCCACTGAAATCAAATAGTCAAATGAATCATCAAGCTTATAATTGTATAGGTAGAAGTTCAAAAATAAGTCCTTGCTTTAGTGAAAAAGGGAAAAAAAAATAGAGATAGAATCAAAATACAAATATCCAACGTGAAAATCAATTCCTTGAATGACATGCAACGCAATGACATCTATACATCAAACTAATCTGACCCCAAAATAAACAATTACAATTCCTTTTCAGACTACGAATACTGACAATAAAACATACAAAAATAATTGAATTATAAAACTATCAAATGAAATGCGAATTTATTTGTAAGGAAGAGAAAAGAAATTGAACAAAAAGTGGACGAAAGAAGACTTACAGAGCTAAGGTCCACTGATGCATTTATTCAAACACTTGGCATAAAATTACACAGGCTAGCATGCATGAACAGAACCAAGTGGCTCTAAGCCATTTTTAATCAAACAAAATTCATTCTAATCAAACGGAATTCGAATAGAAATGCCTTAAATACAACAACTTAATAGAATCAAAGGGCAGTAAGCCATTTCTAATCAAAATCTAATCTTTTTCTTCTTCGCTTATTCGTTATATTTCTAATTATGCACTTTGTCAAGAACCAAAAGAAATCCACAAACCCAATATTGTCCCTGACTGACACCACTAAACTATTGTAGCTTTAACTTTGATACACAGACCAATGCAAAACCAACAAATGGTTATCCAAAAATTTCAAATATGCAACATGTGCAAGTGCTCAAGCTTAGTTTTTCTATCTGAATTATATAGGAAGAATGAAACTTCTAAATAAAAATATTAAAGAACTCACTTGGTTACCACCAAGCTTGTGCACTTGACCATCAATAAATATTTTTTCAACAACAACTTCTGAGTGAAAGATAAAAAATTAAATTAAGAAAATACAGTTATATTGTGGGCGAATTAAGCATCATAATGCTTATATTATTTTATATTCTAATCACAAAAACAGCAGCATGATATGAGAGCCTTACATGCTAAAATCATTTACGTAGAATAAAAAGATCTACCTATGTTACGGGTGTCCAACTGATCTTTAATAGACAATAGGGTTGCATTTGATAGCACAGTAATGTTTTCTCTTTGCTATTGGCTTCTGGGGGCAGCTTTATGCATGGGAGAATTCAGAGTTTCCCATATCAATTGAATTTTTATAAAAGAGGGAATATGGGAATAAAAATTAAATAATCCATTAGGACCATAACCTATAGCTTCTCAAGAACAAAAACCAATTGTGTACATAAAATCAGTGGCAAATAAAACAAATAGCAAGCTTTTAAAGTTTTATATTTTCAGGAATAAAAGTTGAGCTACCATTCCCTACAACACCCGCAGGGATTGCCCAGAAACTTAACTTAAAGTAACAAATAAATAACACACAGAAAACACAACACATTTCATGCAAACCTCAAGTTTTTTGTCAAACAAAAATCAGAAGTAAACATATGATATCTTTTGAATTATGACAACGCAATAACGAACATAACCATAGACTTCTACACTCACAATATTAGTAACAACAAAGAAAATTCAAACACCAATACTTGAAAGTAAAAAAGGAAATAAAAAATCAATAAATACCAAAGAACCATAATTTGTCCTCGGAGGTCTTTCTCAAACATCTGGTCGTGATGTACCAATGGCTCCACTATTTCTATGGTGAGTAACCATATTTGTCTGCGTCAAACTGATTAAACGCATCTTCATAACTTTTCATCTCCTACTCAAAAAAAAAAAAATTAAATCATAGGTAAAGCCAAAATTAAATATGTATTCAGTTCTAAGATTAACCAAAGATTCAATTGCATTACAGAGTAGAATGAAGAACAAAAACAATACCCTTTGCTTTTAAAGAAGTGGATCACCTAATAGAAGATTCATAACCACGTCTATAACTTTTTTAGAGATTATTTCCAGAGTTTATCAATTAAGTTGAACAACCAACATTTATTTTTTAAAACAAAATATGATACTCTTGAGACCGGAGACTGTAATCTATAACTGATTAATAAAGAGAATTGCTTATAGAAAAATAATTATTACTATGATCCTTTCTCGAAGATGCATTCCTGCACTGTAGCGGACGCGGGAGCAGCCACCCACATCGGATCTAAAAATTGATGGGAGCCGAAAAAGACCATGACGGATCTGGAGGAAATCCGGTCGGCCGGGACAATACAGAAGAGATTCGACGAAATCTCCTGGCCGGATTTGAGAATAGATTCTATGTGGGATGAGGAGGATTTTAACATCAATATTGTTGAAATTGAAGCAGAATCAAAGAAAATCCGAGTTTCGGCATGTCGCAATCAGAGCGGTGATGGGATGAAGTTTAGATCGTAAAAGAAGAAATAAATTCTTCCAAGAAAAATATACAATATGATTGCTCATTTACGGAATCGTGGCTGAGAAGGGGAGAATTTAAACTTCATTTGGAACTTATCTTTTATTTTTTAAATCGAAGTGTGATTCTGGTTGATCAGAGTAGGGATTTGCATTAACTAAGTTGAGCGATATGTGGGATTTGAAGCGTGAAAATCAGTAATAATTTGTGCGAAAGTGGAGTTAAAATCGGAGAGTATTCCCGACTGTTATGGATAAATAAATTAGTTATCAGTAATTTATCAACGTAATGGATAGATTTCTACTCTTTTTTACTCTAATATTGATTTTTTTCTTTTTTAAGGCATTTTTTTTCCTGAAATTCTAGAGTGCCACGTGTTAGTTTTTATTTTGTATTAAAAAAACCTTTTGGCGGGAAAATTTTGATTATGAAACAGACACGTGTCCTTTTTGTTTGCTGCTTTAATTAAGTACTATGGATACATATATATATATATATATATATGAATACATATGATTAAGTAATTAATGACATAATATTGTAATTAACACCTATCATAAATATCTTTTAAGAAAATATGTGGTTCAATGATCGTTATTACTTTTTCAAAATTTCAAAAATTTTAAACAAGTTAAATTAATTAATTTCATAAAAAGATTTACTACACTTGATTGCTTTTTATTTATCCAATAAAAAAAATAGTTATTAAATTATTTCATGCCATTTGTTCCGAATCAGTTCTCATTTAATGTATATGATTTTCGTTTTTTCCCTTATTCGGTTTAGTTAAAATAAATGAGTATCTTAATCTTAATCATAAATATCTTGCTTTTTCCCTTTTTTTTAAATATTTAATTTTTTAATTTGATCTTACCTTTTCATTCAGTAATAAAATGGAAACTAATAAATTTAACTAGTAAATTTCATTAATATAAATTGTAATTAAGTATAACTAATGTTTTATCATATAGTAGAACGTCGGTAAATCAATAATCGATAAATTAATAATTTCTAACAATTAATAATTTTTTCCGGTCCCAACTTGGGACCAGCACAAAAAGTGACAAAAATCGATAAAATAATAAGATAATAATGTTTCAGAAAATCTCCTATATATCTATAGGTCCCAACAATATTGTAAATTAATAAATAACTTAAATGCCAAAAAAAATACTAATATCTAGAAAGATTTAGTAAAATATGAGATTATTGATACTTTTTTTTCTTGAAATTTAAATTCAATGAAATTTCATCCTTGATTTGTCTCATTGCCCTTAAGAGCTTTAGTGTTGTATTCTCAAATTGCAACAAGAAATTCTAAAAAATTATTGCTGATTTGAGTGCCTCTTTTCGTGTGACTGGTACCGAAGGCAGTGACTCATCATCACCTTAATCCTCAATTGAATTATCTTCAGGACACTAGTTAGAATATCTTCAAATGATTGGACCTATGTAGATTTATCATTTTCACCTGGATAATCCACCAAATGATTGACATTCATTTTATTAGGTTTGAGTTTATATTATTAAAAAGAGTTACATTCCTTACTTGTTTAAGATTATAAAGAAACGATGAAAAATTACGTACTATAGTAGGGTTTTTTAAAGAAAAAAAATTCTTTAAATTAATAATTTATTAATTTATCGATTATTTAATAATTCGCTAAATTAATAAAATTTGGTGGTCCAACATTATTAATATATAGAAATTCTACTGTAATTTGATTGCCATCCTCGTAATTATATGCCACTAGTGCAAAAGATATTCTTTCCGTATTGAAATAGTTCACTCCCGGTTTGACTGATGTCTTTCAACACTGGCTGGCTTAGCCCACTCTGACACTTTTTTCTTTATAGAATCTTCATAGAACAGCTTTATCAAAGTCACTGTGTGAGTGCGTGAAATCCGAAACTAGAAACACAAGATGAAGCTTCAAGTGTACGCAGATCGCGTATCTTCACCATCCCGCGCAGTTCTGCTTTTCTGCAAGTAATATATGTCTTCTTTCAGTTCTTTCTTTCTCAATAACCTTCCTGTGTTGTTTAATTATGTTGATAAAATTTTACTATTTCTTTCCCTTTAAATGAATCAAGATTTGTTCTTTAAGTTGTTGTAAATCATATAGATGGCCTATTGTGAATTAACAGGTTAAACGGGATAGATTTTGAGGAAAAGACGATTGAACTTTCCAAAGGAGAGCACCTATCCCCTGAATATGCAGGTAAACAAACTATATCCGGAATTGAAGAAATTCGGCTCATTCGACAATTTCATTTGTATTTATGTTTTCTCTCGCATTATTTCCAATTGGGTTTTGTTGCAGCCATCAATCCCATGAAGCAAGTGCCTGCAATTGTGGTTGATGATGAGTTCAAGCTCAATGAGAGGTAATTTATATGAGTCACCGACCTTGAATAATCATCTCATAAGTTTACAATTACACCTCCCCCGATTATATGGTCAGCTGTTAGCCTATAACCACCATATCAATTCTCTTTGATGATTATTAATTAGGAAAATAAGTCGAAGATTTCGCGTTCTTCAATGTGTTGCATGTTAGTTTTTTTACTTTAATAGCCCAAGTTTACTCAACATCAAATCTGTGAAGAACAAGCTTTATGGCCTATTATGAGGAACTTGTAAGAAACAATAAGCCTGATTTTGAAGAGGGTAGTCTTGAAAATCTTGAAGTGACCTCTGTAGATGAACAACAATTGAGGTCATGCTCTCTAAGTGATTGCCTGATTGCGAGGAAATTAATCAGTCTTTGACGTATTTAATCATCTTTTGCAGCCAAGCAATTATTAAGTTTCTTGTGGAGGCTTTCCCTCAAGTTGCTGATCACTGGTAAGTCCTTATGCTGCTGTTCAAAATCGATTTCGGGTAACAGGACATCTTTGTTTAATAGCGTTCAAATGTTTGCGAAACATTACACATTTATTATGAATGGAATTTGAGACAAAGGCATTCTGTTAATCTGAGACTAATATGAGAAAACAGATTTGCACAAGTTGTGATGTCCTTTAGAAATCAAACATGCTAGTAGCACTAGCTGATATTTGTACAGAATTCTCCACTATATTCTTCTATCACCATTTCTAGTTGATGTTCTTTCCTAATTCCCAAATTTGTGAATTGATGAACACATGGTTGATTTTCCTTTTACTCTTTTTTATTCAAAGGTATCCTAAAGAGTTGTTCAAAAGAGCACAGATCAACTCAATCTTAGCTTGGTATCACACCAATCTACGTCGTGGTACACGTGAGTGCCGTTCTGTACTTTAATAAGGTTTGAGTAGTTAATTATAATCAGGCATCTTAATATGCTCCTAATTAATTGGAAATGATGATGCTTATCTTTGCAGTTAACTTTGTCATCCATAGTACTTTTGCACCAGTATTTGGTCTGCCTTTGGATCCAGAAGCAGCAGCTGAAGATGAAAAAGTTCTGTCAGGCTCTCTGGCTCACATTGAATCTTTTTGGCTGAAGGGGGATGGACCTTTTCTACTTGGTAGCTCTCAGCCTTCCATTGCAGATTTGGGTTTAGCTTGCGAAATCATGGAACTTGAGGTAATATTTCACTTTCTTCTGGTGTGTCTTTTTATTTTTGCATTCTTTTATTGATTATAAGCTCACGAGAGTCTTTACCTACTCTCGAAAATGGTCCGTTGGTCCAACATTGTTGCATAAATGCATGGATTCTTTTTACGTATAACCTTGTTTGATTTAGTTCTTAATTGATAGTGGGATCTTAGTATGTATTGTGATCATCGATCTTAAAATAGTTTAATGCCAAAATGCAGATCAATGTTGCCCTTAGATGTTTTTATATTTGTAATGTGTCCAACAATGAAATAAGGTTTGGAAAGCTCGTTCTGTTCTGTAGTAGATGTATAACAATTTTGGGACGAAAAAAATATCTCATTCGACTTGACGGTTTTGATGTAGGTTGTGGATGATGGGGCTCGTGAAAGAATATTGAGCCCTCATCAGAAAATCTTGAAGTGGATTGATGCGACGAAGAATGCCACACAGCCCTATTTTGATGAATTCCACGCCCTCCTTCCCCAAGTCAAGCAGACCCTTCAAAACAAAATCTGATGGAGACAAAAATCCAATAGACAGAATCCGAGACTATTCTAATCTTTTCTTTGGAATCAGACACAGTTTTGGGGACGTTTATTCAGTTCCTAATGAACCTAATAAAAACATTTCGGCGTGCTGCCTGTGGAATAAAGTGAAATGATTTGCCTGTTTTTTTATTCTTGACTAAGGATAATTATTATTTATTTTATAACCTTATATTATATGATATCGCTTCTCGAATAACACTCGTTCTTTTGTTAAAGCCAAAATTAGGAAACTCATTATCATACGCTGATTTAGTGATAATTGAATCATTTGGATCAGGCTTGATGGTCCAATCCTAATTTTGGTAGCGTGATGATTAACAATACACAGTGACAGAGAGTATATGTTGATCATCATGCTAGCGTTAAAACATCGAACATTCACTTTTTAATCATAAAATGATAATGCTATCAATTTTAAACCAGTTTCTCTTCTAATAATTAAGTAATGTCGCAATGGATAGTAGGAATATGTAATAGAGTTGTACAGTTGAACTGTTTGTTAATTATGCGCCATTTTGGTGATGTTGATATAATTTTTTACAATTTTTTTTAACCAAAAAACGTATTAATATTTCTGTTTGGACGATGACATTAGATTTATGTCTATTTTTTTTCCTAATAAAGAACATGGCAAAAGGATTATAATAATTGACATCATGTTTATATTATGATGATGAAAACATAAATATATAGACAACACAATTTGAATATAATAAGGAATGGAATAACAATAACCAAGATGGTACTAGAATCTACTCTCGAACAACTGAAAATATATTTACGAAAGGTGGCCAACGAGTATTTGGTCCCCAAGAAACTCCCATCCATAATCCAATTTTGAGGATTTTAATTTTTCTTCTTCCAAGTTCAGCTGCCCTCGCCCTTCTTTGACTTCGATCCGCGAATATAAACTACACAAAGCGCCAATGCGCTCTCTTTATTACCTTCAATAGTGGAAACAGGACCTGTGACTCGAACTCCCGGTGTGACTTGAACCCGTGGCCTATTCGAAACATGAGAGACGCTCTCTTTATTACCTAAGTACTGTTTAGATTACAAAAGTAAAATACAGAATCGGATCACAATTATAATAAAAATAAAAAATAACTGTAATAAGAAAATTAATTTATGAATAAAGAGGTCAAATTACTAAGAGAAATTATATAATGTCGTGACTGAATAATTCGATCAACGATCTAAATTGTTAGATTCATATTAACTTTTAAATCGTTGACTAGACTATTCAGATGAGGATATTATGTAACTTCTCGCAAATTAGAGACCATATTAATTACCATTTTCTCCGTGAGTCGGTACTCGTACATGAGCCAGCTACTATCTTGCTTTGGGTAGTAAACAAGGGAGGATCTGCGGCCAACCGTCATCATCTCCGGAGATGGAATTTCTACTTTCGCCGTAGATGCTTTCCAATATCCTTTCACAATTCCGTCCTTTGCTACCCTCCGATCGTTCTTCGAATCACTGCGGTCTTTTCTCTTCACAGGTGAAAAGAAATACATCTTGCACCCCTCACTCAGGTCGAAAAACCCACTTCCTTTATATTTATCTGTATAACATCCCAAATTTTTTTATATAAAAAAATTAGAATTTGTATCGCAATTCGGTAAAGAGTACTCTCTTGATTCAAAACTTGTCAGGAGCAATAAACCAAAATGTTTGCACATAAAAGATACTCCATGTGTCTCAGAAATATTTGTCCAGTTCGGATATTTCGTTTTAGTACAAATTGAACTAAAACTGAAAATTAAAACTGGGCAATAATTTGAAACATAGAGAGTAGTAAACAAGCAAAAGTCAGGTCTGAACCCTAGAATCTTGTTAGCATCATGAATGATAACATAAAGAGAAAGTAGTTCTTGTTAAGTAAGTTATGCCCTAACAAATTAAAAGCCAAACCCTAGTTCTTTATGCACACTTCAGAAAAACGAAAGGAAGCTCAAGTCAAAGCGAAACCACAAACCCTAAGCTAAGAAAATAAAAATGATAGCTGAATTTTACATGCACCGATCACTAAAATATTAATCCATACGATCAAAAAAACATGTTAAGGACAAAACGAAGAGAAGCAAGAGCAAGAAAAAAAAAAGGGAAAGAGACAAAGAACATACCCATCAACTCCTGGGGCGCATACTGGTAAACATCTTCATGAATGATGAAACCAACATTAATGTCGTGATCAACTTTCTCGCGAAGATAAACTAGAAGTTCGTGGTCCGTGGGCTTAAACCTGTACCCCAACGGAATATAAATATTTGGCAAAGTTTCTTCATCCTTTGAATGTGAAGATTCTCCTCGCTCAGTTGTAGATGATGACCACCCATTTGTAGGCACGAGCTGTAGTTGATTGTAACCCGATGAAGAACAAGGATCAGGAATATTGAAATTACTCATCTTTTTTGCTGTAAATCTTGTATTGAAACTGAAACAAGATTAAAACCCTTGTTGTAATGAAATAAGGATTGATTATCTTCTTTTTGAGAAAAGGAGACAATTAATTAATGTGAAAGATTTGGTCGTGACAGATTAATTAATCAGCTATGTATATATAGATAGACGTATATATATTGTTAGTTTAATCTTTTAGCATCTAGGATCTGGATCACAATAGTGAATGGTTGATCAGATTTTTTTTTTTTTTGGTCCCCGAATTCTGATAGGATTTTGAAAGGAAACGCGAAGGTGTTTACTATCATGCATGTTGTAACGTTCACCAATTTCTTTCTTTTTTTTTTTTTTGAGTACAAATTAATTCTTTTACAAAGTGTTCAAAGTAGGAATTTAACCAGAAGCAGGGGAAACTACAAAGAAAATCTCTGTTACGTTTTTAGTCCAGGTTCGAGAGTTAATCTAATTAATCATAGTAGTTTATAATGGAAAAATTGATGTGGAAATCCATGGTGATCAAAATGATAGAGATTTTCGTAACACGAAAAGCTCTCGACGCATGCACAATGATCCTTTGGTGCGTCGATAGGAATTAAATGAAGGTTGTCGAAGATAAGGTTTCCAAAACCTAGTTCCCGATTGGAGTTGGTTTTTAATTTCATTAACTTTTTTTTTTCCTTTCTATTTTTTGCTTTTAAGATATCTACTTTTTGGCTTTTTAGTTACAGTATTATTATAATTATGAAATAATCGTGAAAGGTGTAATTATTTTAATTAAAATGTTATATTAAACTTTGCTTAGGCCAACGTATAGAAAGGGATATATATATATATATATATATGTTTGAATAATTTTCTTAATTAAGCGAATAATGTACTATATCCCTTTTACCCTATTAAAGCAGAATACAGGATGTTGATGTGCTAACTTTTTATTAAAAACTTTTGGCTCCAAATGCACCATATTGCATTAACCATTCTGCCACGTGTCATCCCTTTTTAAAAGAAAAAAAAATTCTTATCCGGAAAAACAAAAACTACTTTACAAAATAGCTACACAATTTTAACTCCTAACATTTATCATTTATCAATCAAATTAAAATAGCATTTAAATTTGCTCATAAACTTATCCCCTTTATTACTCCACATTCTTTTGTATGATTTCTGCATCGTTGTAATTTTCAATATTTTTTCTCCTTTGGCAGATATTTTTTTATTTTTATTTTTATTTTTGGCTAAAAAAGGGAAAAAAAACCAAATGTGTAGCTATTTTATTTTTTTCCAAATCAAAAATTCATTTATCTATTAACACAAAATTAAAGTAGAGGGGCGCCCGGACATCTATACGGGCCAAACATCTAGTATATGATTATTAAGAGTGCTTGCATTATTTTCCCATTGAATCCAACATTATATTCTTTATTATTTCTAACATTACGCGATAACGCAATCGGAATCAAAGTATATTTTGAATTCTAAAACTAAATAGTAGAAACTGTAATATCGTCCGTTTCTTCAGACCCCCAAAAAAAAATCTACAAAAACACATAGTGGAGGATTTATTTTGCCAAAACTATTCATTTGGTCATAATGCACTTATAAGACGTAAAATAAACTAAATTCTAAACTACGTCTTATATAAATACTAGGGGGTGGTGCTGCACATTTGTGCAGCGTAAGGTGAGTTATAACCCAGTAATTCGGGAATTTTTTAGTTCTGTTTTTTAAATGACAATCAAATCGACATATATGAATAATAAGTTTTAATTCTTTTTGAAACGGAAAAGATATTAAAAAATGGTCTGTACTTTGTTAACCTTTCTTAAAATGCTGGTGAAAATTTTTATTTGATTAAACATTGGTATTATATATTTATTTTTTTAACTGAAATAGAAGAACATCTATAATCATTCTAATAAAATGCTGCAATGAGAAAACTGGATTTAATTTTGGTCGATTTAGGAATCTTTCAATTTCCGGTATTATGTATGTTTCTCTCCGTTCCCCTAAATTTCCTTCTTTGGTTCAATCACATTAATTAGACACAATCCATATAATATACATTAAATTCATGCATTAAATTAAATAATAAATATTTGGTACGAATGCAATGTACTTGCACATTAACTTATTGGATTTTACCTAAAAAAAAGAAAAAAAAAAAAGAAAATTGATATTTGCATCCCGCATGTTTGCAGTCGTTTGGGTTTTCATGTACCATTCTTTTCCCCTATAGAATGCCAATAAATTCATACACCTAATTAAGAGAAAGACCAGACTATCAATTTCTTCATTGCATTGGTCTGTGACTGAAATTTTCAACTCAGGTGCCCATTCATGCACTAACAACCATTGGTTGATTGTTTTCATGTTTTCTTCAAATCGTTTTAGTAACCATTCAGCCCTGAAACCACCCACATAGAGGCCTTATCCTCCAGGTTCACCAAGGCAAACCGCTCCCTAGTATCTGAAATACAAAAAGAGCAAGACAATAAGATCCTGTAAGGACATCAAATCAACTACACATGGATTCATTTGTTCTAAGCAGTGAAACACAGATTAGTGCCGAGGAATTAATATTCAATAAAACTAAAACCATCATGGTACTGTTATATAATGAACTAAATGAAAGAATTGGTACTACAAAAACCACCTGCTTGTATAATTTTTTGTGTAGGAAAATACAATCAATGGAAATGAAGTCAACTACAATAAGACCAAATACACAATTTGAACTAAAACTTAAGACTATTAAACATGGAGCCTTTGAGCAGTTCGAAGTTAACAAAGCTTTCCGAAATTTGAGAACTTTAGCCAAGAGATTACCAGAGACTTAGTAATAGAGTGATTCAAATGCTGCAACATATTTCATTACAGAGTCGCTTCTCTTTATCATAATTGCATTCAACTCTCTCCTCCTATATGGTAATTGTATTGTAGTTTAGTTTTGCAATCAAGTTGCTACTATCCCCATTTTGTAGTACACATGGTTCTTCTTTCTAATAGAGTTTCAGTCTAGACTCTAGAGTCAGAATTTCTTCTTCATCTCGTATAGTACTGCTATTCCTATAGTACACAGTTCAAAGTTAGACAATTGTTTCAGTAATGGGTTGTCCTAGGGTTTTAAATAGCCAGATTCACGTAAATTATGTTGACATATTCAAAATGCATGGCATTTTAGTGTCGTTTTTAATTAGTAGAAATGGTATTTGCGAAATTTAAAGCCCGAATTCATGTTAAGCAGCTACTGTGTATGCAAATTTCTTCAAATAAGGTGACAAATAAAAAGAACCACGGCTAAAAATGAAATTTCCCATTAAAACTAATAGCACAAAAAGAAATACTGTTTAAAAGAAGTACAAATCAGTTTCTTAGAGACAAATAATCAAACAGGTATCATGCAGACACATAGAAGTTTTCACCAATTTCGACGGACCTAGGTTAAAACCCTTTTTCCTAATTGCTTGATCTCATATCCAAATTAGGGAAGGGAGAATGGCTAAAAGTGACAACAAGATACCCTGCACACTGTTCTTCTACATAAAAAAATTTGTTCTTTATATCCAAATAGCTCTACAAGAATACAAAGAAAGTAACTTCTTCATCTTCTTTTTCAGAAATTCATGCACTAAATTAATCGAAACATAACAGTATTGCATAATCTGCAGATACATAAATTCAAGGGGGGAGAGAGAGGGGGACGAATAATGGAAGAAAGGGATCCAAAAACTGTACCGAATCAGAATACAAAATTCAATTTACGGGGGAGGGGGTTTCAGGCACACCTTCAGACCTTCGAGGAAAAGCTATTAAATCAGAAATGACCAGATCTTACTGTAGAACTTTCATTTATTTCGGAGCTATTCCCCGCCGGAGCTTCAAAATTGTTTAGGGTTGGGGATTATTTTGCGCCGCATCATCCAAATTGTCCGATTAACGAAGTAATAAAGGGCAAGAATTGTCTTTCTGTTTTCAAAATTTCTTCAAAAAGAATTCATTCACCGACAAAGGTCTGGATTTTTTATTCATGTCTCCCTATTATTGTTCAATCAACTCTGATTATCGAACTCTTTGGAGAGAGATGCAAGGAGGCCGAAAGACAAGAAAAAGAAGAATCCACCGTGAAGGAGCAAGAACAGTGTTGTACCAGACTTGCACCAGGAAGGAGCAGTGAAGAGGGCCAAGGAAGAAGCCGTGAACAAATAATAAGCGGACACGTGTAAGAAAGAACACGGAACACCGGAGAAGGCAGCCAAACCAAAAGAGACGGTGGAAGCCGCAATCTGTAACCGATGTCTCCAATCAAAGAGCCGACACATTGGGGGGAGTGACCGGCCACCGTACCTAAACGGGAAGAGTCTCGGTCCAACTCCCCTATTGATACATATAGATATATAATAGGCCAGTTGGGTTAGTGTTGGATGGAGGCCCATAAATAGATCACGACCCAAACTCAACTGGGTCCAGTCCATATCCGTTCTTCTAACATGGATTACCACTGCCTGGAGCTTACTTTCCATGGTTTCGTCATATCATCAGAGTCTTCCTTCCTAATTCCCACAGCTCGGTAGAGCTTGAAGCTCTTTATTATACTGTGTGACTGTGTGAGAGAGAGAAACTGGAAAACGTAGAAAGATGACGCTGAAGTTGTATGTTGATCGCATGTCTCAACCTTCCCGGGCAATTTTGATCTTCTGCCGGTATTCCTATTCATTCTTATCTTCAAAAGTCTTCAACTTTCCCATTTCTTTTTTATCCCTTTTCTTTTTCCTAGTATTATTGTACTCATTCACTACTCACTATTCTGGCAATTCGCTTATGAATTCCGTTTACAGTGTAAATGGTATTGATTTTGAGGAAGTAAGAGTTGACTTATCCAAACGCCAGCACTTATCTCCTGAATTTCGAGGTTGCTTTTTCATTTTCTTCCTTATCTATAATGGTTAATTTCTATCTTTTTTTATTTTTTTGTTTCCATTTGTAGAAAGTAATGATCAAGAAAACCCCCCTTTCCCCTTATGCTATTTTACACTCCATTTTATGTTACAGAAGTTAATCCCATGAAGAAAGTGCCGGCTATAATGGATGGAAGATTCAAGCTTTTTGAGAGGTGGGCCCAAGTACTTTGTCTTTCTGTTTTCGGGATTCTGCAGAAAATTTTCCATTCTAGGGTGCTTACAAATTAAGTTCCTTATACAATATATAATTTTCACTGTTGTTAGTTATTAGTCCAGTGAAAGCTTGTAAGGTTGGGACTTGGGAGTTAACTGTTTATTATATGATCCTTTCTGTAAAGAGAAGGAATGAAACTAGTAAATGTATGTTTACAGATTTGGTTTATCCCCTTTACTGTTATGGTGTCCGAGTCTGTCTCCCTGTTTGATCATTGTCCCAGTTTGTCTCCCTGTTTGATCATTCGTTACCTCTTTTGATTCTATTGAGTCCTCACGCATTTGAGATTTTCTGCAGTCACGCTATTCTTCGATATCTGGCGTGTGTTTACCCTGGAGTTGCAGATCATTGGTGAGTCTGCTTGATCAACTTTAGAGAATGGTCGGTAGTTTGAGTAGCTCTCTCACTAATTTTATATTTTGTGAAACTTCTATTAACAAATGAAGAGAATGACTGGATAGGTAAGCAAATTATAGTTGATGGAAGGTACATGAAAATTTCGCATGGATTGGTTTTTTTAGAAATGATTGTGTGAGCATGCTTTTAGACTTTGCTGGAAAACCATTAAAGCTGAACACAATAATCTACTTACTTGCTGACTACTTAACAGTTTTTTGCAGAATGTTGTAAAAGTGATAGTTTAAGTTTCAGTATGTCTTTTTATCTATGTTACACATATAACACGGATTATGATCAACTTGTATTTTCTTTTTCATCACTGAGATTTAGTTCATGTAACACGGAGTCCCTTGCACATTCTTGGACTATTGTATACTTTGAAATGGCTCTAACAAATGGTTTCTTCATTGAATTTACACATGTAGGTATCCTGCAGATGTCTATACAAGAGCAAAAATTGAGTCGGTTTTAGATTGGCATCACTCCAATTTACGCCAGGGTGCAGGTAAGCAAACTATTGCTTATCAGTTTAATAATTATGATTACTACATCTTCAGATCTGTTGAGTTTCATTTGGGATTTAACTGAATAACAAGAAAGTTCATTTTGAACCTATAGTAAGTCTACAAGCTTCCATGTAGATTTGAGTAGCATATGTCATTGTAGTGAGCATATGAGCATATTTGAAATGTTAAATTCATGCACCTGCACTCCGGAGCTGGGTTAAAATACAGTGATGAAACAATTGTTTTGATTCTGTTACTGCTATTCTTTGTGTATGGTTCTTCAATAGGAATGAGAAAGCATAATTTTTTTATTTTTTTTTTGGGTTGGCTGATTGCAAATGATTACCATCCCTAATTTCAACTTATTGTGTGAAGTAAGTGGAAAGGCTAACTTGGAAACCCTACATTGCCATTATTGTTAATCAACTGATTTATTACATTTACATTGAGATCTTTCCATAAGGAACAGTTTATTCACCGTACCCTTTTTTGCAGCTTCATTTGTTCTTCATACAGCACTTGCACCTGCACTTGGTCTCCCTTTGGATCCAAAAGTAGCAGCTCAATCTGAAATGCTCCTATCAGCTTCTCTTGCAAAGATTGAATCTTTCTGGCTCAAGGGAAAAGGGCGGTTTCTGCTAGGAAACTTGCAACCTTCTATTGCAGACCTGAGTTTTGTCTGTGAAATTATGCAACTTGAGGTAGAGAGATGTCATTAGATATCATTTCTTGAATTGCATCTTATACAGTGGATTACTTGTATATAAACTAGATAATCATAGAAAACTATCATTCCCTATTAATTTGACGGGCTATCTTCTTCACTTCTGCCCTAGAAATATGTTATTCGGGAATGAAATTATTTTTTTCCTTCTACGGTACTATATTGTCCTAGAAATAACCAATATATTCATGGATATAATCCAAATCATTTTTGTGCATTGCAATAGTATTACTGTATTTAAGTATTAGTTGTTTCCAATGGAAGTGGGAACTCATGCTCTGTCTTGCATTGAATCCCTTCATCATTATTCTCAAGTTTCCCTTTGATGGGCAAATATATCCTTGATGGTGTATAGGCAGACTTTCTTTTGATGCAGAAAAACATATATATATATATATATATATATATATATATATATATCTCAGTCTATTTAGTTGCAGTTGTCCTGCTGCTAGTTTACCATGTCAAGAGTATTCTGGTTTGTATTATGGAGATGTCTTTTCCAGCCTTTGCTCTTGATATATTGTTGGTTACAAGAGGTTCTTTGCTTTCAGCTTTTTCAGTCATCACAAGTTACATGAGTTACATATCTGAATTTTGATTTCAGGTATTGGATGAGGAGATTCGTAGCCGAATTCTAGGTCCGCACAAGAAAGTATTGAAGTGGATTGATGACACAAAAAATGCGACACAACCACATTTTGATGAGATTCATACCATCCTCTTGAAAGTCAAAGAGAAGTTAAAGAAGATGTCATCTGCTGGAGGCAGCAGCCAAACGAATGTCAGCAACAAGTCTGTTTTGCCTTCAAAGATATAACCTTGTAATTTACAAATTGTTCTTTGTAAATGTCAACCTTGTATGATCGAAGTGAGAAAATTCCTTCCAAATACATGTTTCCTTGGAACAAGAATTATGGCAAGTTAGTGAAACTTTTGCATCAATCGACAGGCGAAGGAAACTGCTTTACCACACTGATAGATCCTTAATTCCCCCATTTGAGCAAATAAACTGCTGAGTTTGCCACCTTGCATTGATTATTTCTGGTTGCTGCCTCGATCTAGAGGTTGTTGGAAATGTCCGAAACATTGGGTTAGGAATTGGGAAGTCTTCATTAATCTCTGATCAATGTATATTTTTAAGGGCTAAGAAGCAACAATAGCATTCTCTCGTTTGTTTCTATTGGTTGTTGCATCTCTTTAATTAATCTCCAACTTCTTAGGTACATGGTGGATCTGAAATTGAGGAAGCTTTGTCTAGTCATGAATGGCCCCAAAACAGTTTACGAATTCAGTGAAATGTGCATTAAAGGATGATTACAATCGACTAGCTAGCGAGCTGTACTGAAGAAGAGCATCACTGTCACATATAGCTCAAGCATCCTAACTGTTCTATAGATTGCTAACACTGACTAATCTAGCTAACCACCATTGTTTGAGTCTAACAGAACCATAGACATGATTTATACTCCTGGATTAAGAGAACCCACTTCGAGTTTTACCCCATTTTCGTGCATTCATCCATTCTGCATCACTGCCTTTGTGTTTTTTGGTGTGTCATGCTACTTCTTTGGTCTCCTGAAGTTCTATAAGAAAAGCGGGCAGCCAACTGAAGCCTCAAGGAAAAGGCATCAATTTGATCGTATTGGTAACATCATCCTCATCTATTCCACGATCACCACGGTCACCATAAAAATAGCCACTTTCCGGGAGTGGCCGCCGCTCACACTTTCAAAATAGCAAGGAACTCTAGATAGCTGAAGAGAAACATGAAGGCCATTTAGCCTCCAATTCAGGATCCATCCACATATTATTGTATCCAGACTGGCTCTTACTGGGTGCTTGTAGAAACAAAAAAAAAAAAAACAAAAAAGTTAAAGAGAAGACGTTATGTTCTGCTGTATGAGAAATGTGGTCTGAAAGAGAAGAATATAGAGCCAATTCCAAAGGTTGGGGGATGCATTATTTACGGCTAATGGATGGTGGTTGTTTGGTTGGAAAGCTATAAATGTCTTGAATGAGGAGGGGCGGAATTCATTGATCACTGACAAGAGTCGCTTTTAGCTCGTGCTTGAATTCTGAATTTGCATGGTCATTTTAATTCCTCTTCAAACAAATACGTAGTCTTATTTGCTTACAACTTAGAACAAAAAACCTCACTTTAGTAGTTCATCATTGCTCTTATAATACATATTTTTCCTGATTGAAATGAAAGTCATTCCATTTATTCCATACAATTTCCGGTATAAAACCTCGCTTTAGTAGGTTTTTTTTTCTTTTTTTTTTTTTTTGAGAGCACTGGAAATTAGAATATCTAATGACTATTGATTGATAAAAACTTCAATAAAGTGAACCAAACGGTTCCACTGATCGACAAATGTTTCGGATGTTGTGTTTGGTCATGAGCGACCAAATTATACTCACCCCATTCACTTTTATTAGAAACTACTATACTCTTAAATCTCAATAAATAGATACGGTTGTTATGAAATATTTGATTTGATTTGATTGAATGTCCATAATTAGCAAAGAAAAAAAATATTTTCTTTAAAGAATTAATTTCTTTGATATTTAGATTGCAAGAAAAACACTTTGTTTTATTATCATACGTTTATTAATATTACTAAAAATATATTTATAGAAAGAAGTCTACTTCTCATATTTTACTTTGTACTTTTACATTCTACTTTACTCATAGTATTACTGATATTTACTAATATAAGTAAAATATATTGCCAATAACAATATGAAAATGCATAAAAGTTGTTCCTGAAGTAGTAATGTTGTGATAGCATATTTACCATATTAAAATGCTCAAGTAGTAGCATTATAAAGAAATAATTGATGAAATCTTATGAATTGATTTCCTTCCATTCTCCGAAGTGAGTGGGCAGTAAATTATTCCAAGGCAAATTATAGACATCATAAATCTACAATAATTATGTATATATACAATTCTTCACCTGAAGTTGGAAAATTAGTTTGAAGACATGTTCAATTTAGACATGGTCCATTTCCTGAAGTAAATGTGACGATCATGAAATAATGCTATTGGTGATTCTAGCAAATACACTATTAACCACATGAAGTTGGAAAAATAATGAAAACACTACTATCGATATGAAGTTGAAAAGTAGTATATTGCAAATGCTACCATTGTGACATAAAATCATTGGGTTCACATGTTTTGCATACCCAAAATTATCTTATTGATATCTTCAATATAGTATTGAAAGTAGATGAATTCATTAGTCCTGTCGACAATGAATTAACAAATCATAATTCAATTTTTGTCAAAACGCCCTGAAGGTGATTTAATAAATTTAGAGATGAAAATGTCAAATATGTCAAACACCCTGAAGGTGTGGTAGTCTTTTGAGCCACCATAGTAATGATACTATTTAATTGACATTTCTATCTACATGTTTCGAAGAAAATAAGATCTAAATTTGTTAATGGCAAAAGTATGCCTTGCACATAGTGTAACTCATATTACCTCTGTGTGTATTGTGAATTTTATTAATTGCCCTGAAAGGGATGTTAGTTAATGATAAACACGAAATCAATTAAAAGTTTCAGTAGAGCATATGCCATTGAATTATTTTGTAAAGATAGATGAAACCTTTCGTAGAGTATAATTACACCGGAGAGTGAAAACAAGTAAATGCTTTTGAAGAGCAAATATAATGAATTCATCATTGCCTTTGGAAGAACAATAGTAAACAAACTTTGCTCCTAAACGAGCAAGAGAATTTTAGAAGAAGAAAGTACATTGAGATACATTATATTCTCTAAGATGTCAAAGAAGAATATAAATTGCTCTACCAACACAATTATTTTGAATTTGAAAATTCATTGTTGTCTCCAGCAGAGCAGCGATACTTAACTTTCAAAAGAGCAAGAACACAGAATGAAAATAACTGAATAACAAATACTCTGTCAGAGTAAACGCTCATGTGGAGCAAAATTGTTCTGGTATAGTTGAATAATTAATTCACTATTTTCCCCAGAAGAGAAATTATAAAATTTGGCATAACTACTTAAGCCATTCTGGTTTCAGTACGAAACAAAAAAATTTATATGCTTTAAATTTGGATAACCAAGAGTTTCTTCCAACCAATTAGAATATCAATCGATATGTTGATGAGATAACCACATGTATGATTCTCGTTAACTTGCAACCTGAAGTTTGCAGAAACTTAATTATGGAGTTAATTTGGTAACTTGTCGATTCTCATGTTATGCTCTTACGAGAATTTCAATTTGACAGTTGTGGTGAGTATATGACTCAATACCAGAATGATAGAAATTGAACTTTGAGTGCCTATAAGAGCAATAATGAAGCGGTCTAGTAGAATCGTTAATTACATGTGTTCAATTAAAGAAATTACCTCGTATATAATTGAAGAAGTGTTGAAACATAAAAGACGCCAATTATATGCATAAGACCAAACATGTCATTGCTGATATTCTCCCAAATAGTGGTTTTTTGGTCAAAAACCATACATATCTATCTTTAAATATTAGATGTGCAGTTTGTATATTATAATTTTTCCACCACAATGCACACAATGATAGAGCCTCCAGAAGAGGTCAGAAATATATGTTGAATATTGAATCTCCAATGTTTGAGATTATTGATATTAGATTAACTACTCGATAGACTGATCGTATTAGTTTGACGAGTTAGTTACTCTCAAAAGGGAGATTATTAACTGCTTGGTTGGTTAATCGTCATTTTAGCGAGTTAGTTATCCTAACATCGGGGGGAGAAGTTAAAACAGCCTATTTATAAAATCAGATGGACAATATAGTTATCTCATTATGATCCTCGATGATATGAACCTGAAGTTCAAGAGATAATGTTTAAGACCAGATGTTTATCTGACCGAATGTATAAATATATCTTATATAAAAAGCTCTTAAAACTTAGAATTTGATAATGTGTCCCTGAAGGACTGGTGGATGTCAAACCAACAAAAATAAAAGAACATACTCGTAACAGATTTAATAGTATAGCGATGAGTAGGGTCGTCTTCTCAAGGAGTAAGTGACAATATTTCTAATCAAAAGTAAAGTAACTTGGAAGGTTGTTTCAGATTTGTAAATAGTGAACGACACAAATAAATTGCAAGTAATTAAAGATGATTTTCGAATAACGATAAGGAGAGAAGCTCTAGTCAAAGGAATAATATCCTCATTGATGTGTACAATTGATCATTGATGCAAAGATTGACTCAACAAATTATGAATATTGGTTATCATTGTTGGAACCTCCTGACAACTCAATCTTTTTAATTAAGCATCAGCGGTTAAGAAACCTTCGTTAACCACTCTTTAGCCAAAAATTCTGTCTGGAACCTCCTAGAACTTAGTTTTCGACAATCAAAGACCCAATTCAACTTCTAAATAAACAAACCTTGCTTAGCTAAAAGTTGATTATTTATTCTCGCAATACAATGAAACTACTTACCAAACAATTAATTGTATTGTTATTCTTAGGAACAAACAAACCTTGTTGTTCAATAAACTAGATTACCTAGGAAAAATTGAATGCTACCAGCTATTCAACTAGTGTCAAATAATCAACAATACAAATCAAAGAGAATAAATAAATACTCACAACTAAGAGATATAGGAACAATTAGATCTCAAAATTGAAATAACATCAAGGCTTCAATAATCCTTCAACTATAACAGAGAGTTTATTTTCTACACATATTGAGAATAACAACCAAAGAGTTTAAGAATAACGTTACAAAACAAGTGGAGAAGAAAACTGAGAGAATTCTGCCCGTCCGGAGCTTCAAATTTGAGCAGACTGTACTTCCTCTTCTTGGTCTTGGTTTGCCGAATTTCCTCCTCTATTTATAGGGGAGGATGGCTGAAAACTCTCCTAATAAGTAGGAGAAAAAATAGGATATAATATATTTTTCCTATTTTTACAAGGTAATTTTCAAATTTGAGTCTTTTGACAACTCATCTCTTAACTAGCAAGAAAACCAACCTAGACCTTTTAAAAGACTCAATACATTAATTCTATTTAAGGAATAGAAGTATCCTCCAACTAAAAAATTGCTACTTTGGAAAGAATCGCCTTTTTAAGTGTGAATACAATTTTTTATGAGAAGCCTTCCTTGAGTGTGAAAAAGATTGCTTGACTTCTTCCTAAAGAATAAGAATTTATAACTCCAAAAACTTGGAAACTAAGCAACTAATTCGTCCAAAACAGCTGCTGCCCTCCAAGTTTCCTGAAATTACAATTTGGTTCTTAAAGTTTGTAGAAATTATATTTTAGCCTCAAAACTTTCTCAATTTTGCACTTTAATCCCTTGTCGAAATTTCCAGCTTGTTCTTCAACGTGATCACGTGCTATATTAACTCCGCTTCTGCCCTTGAGCATAAGTCTCTTCCACAAAAAACTTTTAAAGTCTCAAAAATCAACAATTTTTCATCCTTATCGTCCAAAGCACCTCCTACAATAAAATTAAGCATAAAACACCAATATTAGCATAGATACCATTCCAAATGACACATAAATCACCATAAATATTACGTTAATATCGACATTATCAAGGATTACCTACCACTATTAGTTAGTTGAATGTCCATTTGATGAGTGGTAGAACCATCGATTCCAAATGATAAAAATCCTCGTAAATGACAAGGTTTAAATCTATAGAGATGAAAAATACGAGTCATTCATAAGAATTTTGAATTGGAACAGTTTTCCATTATGGTGAATTAATTTCCAGAAGAAGTATATGAATATTTGAGAAACTTAATGATTGTGAGATCTCATTACCAAAGAATATAGAATCGATCAGTAATAAAATGTCGACATGAAGTTTGCATATACTGCAGCAGTTACTGAAATGAATGAGGATCATGAAAGTCTGATGTGAGTACGGACATTAAATTTATTGGCCACAACAAATGAAAAGACGCGATACGCATACCAGAAGATGTGTAAGTTGGATTAAAACTTCTTGAAAGACTAGAAGTTTTGGCAAATAATACACCGGCTAAATATTATTGGGTGATTGTGTGCAACATTAATGAGCAACCAACTTATTGCGCAAGTTTTTCGAAAGTCTGGATGTTAATGAGGAGATTTATTCTCTTGTGGTGGATTGAAATAAAGTTCTTCTAATATTTGCAGTATCTAGCAGTAAATGAAGAAATGGAAAATGCATCTCTTAAAAATAGTAATCACTTAATACGTGATACTTGATATTTAATAATGACGTCTATATGAAAACCCCGAAGGATTAAAAAAAAAAAGGGACATGATTCCCAATTCTCGAGAAATTAGTTCAAAAGACTTGCGCAAGTTATAGTGTTTTCGTGTGTCTCGATAAATATTTAGGTTCATATTTTTTTGAATATAATCAATATGCTATGTTTGTTTTATCTAGATATGTAATTTTTTTTTTTGTAACATGGTTGTTTGTAATTTTAAACTCTGTTTTACGACCATATTTGAATGATAGGATGATAACTATTACTAGAGTAAGCATTTATAAGTCATATGTGTATTTACAATTTTGTTAGCACCGAACTCTTGTAGAGTTTTAAAAAGCTGAATATTATCGAAATTTATTATGGAATTCGAATAGCCTGAATATAAGTAAAACTCCTGAAGAGTTATATCAGAGTTTTGAACATTTCTAAGAAAGTTCAAAAGGTTGTTACTTGCCTGAAGTAAGGATAATGAAAGATCTTGAGTAGAATCTCGGTCTAAATAGTTTGACCTTTGTGTATTCAACACCCGTTGAGCGCACTTGATTAAAATCTTGATGTGTATATAGATTATTCTTCTTGACTTTCTATTAATGATGTAAATCGATTTGGTCCTGAAGTATCATATAAAGTTTCGGTTCATTTAATCAATCAGTCAAGACCTAGATGTTATATATTGATGCCTTCAAGGTATGATGGTCATGCATCTCTATTATTATAGAACACTCAAAATTATACAGGTATATGAAGACAACCATCTACATGAGAAGTCGAAATAATCTGTCTATTATTGACTTAAACAATCAGGAACCTGGTCAATAGCTTGGCATGGAACGAGAAGATTACAAGTGGCGTACTTAACAGGGGGAGTAATCCACACTGTACTCTTTTTCCCTTTATCGAAGTTTTGTCTCAATGGGTTTTCCTGAAAAGGTTTTTAACGAGACAGCGTCACATTCGGAAGTGTACTCTTTTTCGTTCACTAGAGTTTTATCCCAAAGGATTTTTCCTAGTAAGGTTTTAACGAGGCATTATTCCGCAAAGATGGACATTCAAAGAAGGAGTATTATGAAATATTTGATTTGATTTGATTGAATGTCCATAATTAACAGGTATTATTCTATTCACAATCAAAGAGATATGATTCTATAATATTTAGCATTAATGATAGATGATTCATTTCTCACAGTTCGATCCCCTACTTCTTGTATAAATAGGGAGCTCATTCATGTTTCAAAATACATCTGAATACATCTGAATATAACACGAAGCACTTATCTGCTGAACAACAACCTCACTGTACATGGTTTGAAGTTCTTACAGAATCCCAACTATTCCCTTGACAAGCTTATTAATCAGCTATATATTACAAGACAACCAGGGAGAACATTGATTTGAACTTCTACATGTAAAGAGCCCTTTTGAGTGTTGCCCTTTATCATCTCTGTTCACTCAACGGTGATTCCTTGTATCTCTAGAGTATCGAGCTTCTTAGGTCTCTTGTAGTTCTTCAACAAAAGCGAGCAGCAAACAACACTTACTGAAGAGGCTGCCATTGCAGCCCCAGCAATCCATGGTGGTAAGCGAAATCCAGTAAATGGAAAGAGTACCCCGGCAGCTATCGGGATGCCAAGGAGGTTATAGCCCAGAGCCCACACATAGTTCAGGCGAATTCGGCGAAATGTGCTTCTCGAGAGGTCTATGGCAGTAATGACATCCTCCAAATTGCTTTTCATGAGGACAATATCAGCTGCTTCGATCGCTATGTCTGTACCTGCTCCGATTGCCATTCCAACATCAGCTGCTACAAGTGCCGGTGAATCATTTATTCCATCTCCCACCATTGCCACTATGCCACTTGAACCCTGTAAAGATCAAATGATAAACAACAATATTAACGTGTGTTGTATCTCAACTTTAGCAATGCTTACTGTTGAAGGCAACAACAAGCAATGCTCAGTAATAGGTACCTGCAGTTCCTTCACTTTCTCAGCTTTATGTTCTGGTTTGGCTTCTGCAATTACAGTAGTTATTCCAACTTCTTTGGCAATAGCATGAGCTGTTCCCCAGTTGTCACCTGTGACTAGTATGGTCTTGATCTTCATAGAGTTGAGAATGGAGATAACTTCTTTTGCTCCAGGTTTCAGTGGATCCGATATGGCCAGAATTCCAACTAGCTGGTGATCAATGGATACAAGAATTCCAGTTTGGGCCAACCCTTCAGTTTCTGCTAGAATTTCTTCAGCGTCAATAGGTATCACAATGTTGTTCTCCAACATTAAACTCTTGTTACCTACAATCACTTCCTTGTTTCTGACAATAGCCTTCACACCATGGCCTGTTATTGATTCAAATTCACTCACTTCAGGCCAGACATTACTGTCCTCATCTTCTCTGAACTTTTTAGCGTATTCAACAATTGCTTTTGCCAAAGGATGCTCACTGTTTATCTGATGAATGGTCATAGAAACCAAAAAAAGAAAAAAAAAATCACTTTCATCAGAGAGGATTGATAAGCTTCCTCATTCAAAGTTATTGATTAACTAATGAGCAGTAAATAGTTGCAACAAATTTCTTCTTCTAGTCTCTGAAAATATTGATATGAACTAGCTATTTTTCAATGCATCATCAGATCATACGAGACATGGAACAAGTTTGATATAAAACCGAAAAGCCATCAGAGGATAAACCTTCTTTACACACAACAACCAAAGTAAGAGATGTTTTGGCAAATGAATAATCCTAACCAGCAAAACTCTAAAGATGATAGTATAAGTATACCTCGACTGCAGCAACTAATTCATAAAATTCTCGAAGAGCCATATTTTTCAAAAGCCTCGTCTTGACAACCACTGGCTTCCCAGTTGTGAGGGTCCCCGTCTTGTCAAAAACTATACAGTTCACCTGTAAAATTATTAAAATGTTTAGAATTGGAAGAGATTTACTCCGATTATGCAGAGACAACATGAACTAATATATTCCGACCTTATGTGCACTTTCTAATGCCTGGCCGCCTTTAATTAGGACACCTTGGGAAGCACCAACTCCAGTGCCAACCATGACAGCAGTTGGAGTAGCAAGTCCAAGGGCACATGGGCAGGCGATAACCACAACAGATATGCCAAATTGAAGGGCAAGTTGAAAGCTATCCATAGAGGAAGGGATCCAGGACTTTGGGTAGCCATTGAATTTTCCTGCTAAAAACCAGGCAAGCCAAGTGGAGAAGGATAGGAATATAACCTGTGAATGAAAAAAGTACAATGTTATTAACTTGACCATCCATCCCAAGCAAAAACTTATTTCTTCCTTTCCCAACAGAAAAGAGAACCGCTACCACAACTTGCTAATAAGCTAAGCTACACTTACAAGAGGCACAAAGAATTTTGAGATGCGATCAGCAAACTTTTGCACTGGAGCTTTAGCCATTTGTGCTGATTCAACGAGTCTAACAATCTGGGATAAAGCACTTTCTGATCCTACCTTTGTGACCTTAACATGCAGCACTCCGTTCTCATTGACTGTTCCTCCAATCACCACATCACCCTTCCTTTTAGCAACAGGCCTAGATTCTCCAGTTATCATGCTCTCATTAACATGGCTCTGACCCCAAATGACGAAACCATCACAAGCCACTTTTGCACCAGGCAAAACTTTAATCACATCATTCCTTTGCAGCAATCGACTATCTATTTCTTCTTCATTTGCCACATTACCTTCATCGTCAAGGGTTAATAAGGTTGCTGTATCTGGAGCCAAGTCCATGAGCTTGGCAATAGCCTCAGATGTCTTCCCTTTTGCCAACACTTCAAGATATTTCCCAAGTAAAATGAATGAAATCAGCATTGAACTGGTCTCAAAAAAATCAGTGGACTCAAAAGTCGGAGAACTTGCAGCTCTGACCACTGAGTATACTGAATAAAAGTATGCTGCATTAGTTCCCAAGGCAATCAAGACATCCATGTTTGGAGATCCATGGCGTAATGCTTTAAATGACCCAGTATAAAAGCGCCATCCAATGATGAACTGCACGGGAGTGGATAGTACCCACCTTAAGGTCTCCCCAATAGTGAGCATGTTGACAACTTTGGTATCTAGTCCATGCTTAAGACCAGGGATATACATGAAAACCATGGAAGTTAAGAAAACAGGAATAGTAAAAACTAAACTCCAGAAAAATGACTTGTAATATTGCTTGATTTCCTCCTGCTTATGGGCTTCTCTTCCTCCACCTTCGGGAAATATTTTCGCTTTGTATCTTCCTGATCCAGTTGATTCAATTACTTGGAAGAAGTTTCTGGGGCCTGTAACATCTGCCTTGTAAGAAAGTGACAGCTTTTGAAGCTCTGGCTCTATTTCTACACCTTCAACTCCTGGTAAAGCTTCGAGCGAATTGACAATTATCCTCATTGAATTGTCAGTTCGAATTCCATCAACTTTCAACTGTATCTTGTTTCTATCCTCCCCCGTACTTATAAGAATTGCTTCAAATCCAGTATCTTCTACAGCTTCCAAGAGCTGGTTGTAGTTTAGAATCTTTGGATCATAGTGAACTTCAGCTTCTTCAGTAGCTAAAGCAACCTGAGCTTTTGCTACGCCAGGGATAACCTGTAAGGCAGATTCTACTGTAGTGGAGCATGACGTACACGTCATTCCTTTTATGGTAATCCTGCACACTTGGATGGAGTTTTCATTTGTCTCTTCTTTGATTATTGCAGCTTGAAATCCAACATCTTCAATGGTCTCACAGATTGTTTGCTCCTGAATATCACAGGAAAAATTTGTCAATCACAAATATCATAACAGTACAGAGTGCGTCTGAACAATACGCATTTTTATCCTGGTAGATATTAGAATATAATCAGATTTGTTATGAAGTCTTGTGGTTCACAGATACACGAGGAAGGAAACCCAATCTCTGAAATTCACTAGTTCAAATGGATTTCATACAGTTATATCCTACGACAGATTGCTCAAAATAAAAAATTCTCTCATCAAAAAAAGTTTCTTCATGGTGGCATAACACTCGAGCATGCTTTTTGAAAAGGTTGGGATTCTGAAGAACCGAGAAAAGTGGACTTGTTTCCTAAAGATGGTGATCAGGGAGCATAAGGCAAACATCTAATGACAAGAAAGGATGAACATCCTATGCGCAGGGTAGTCTCATTATCTATTTATCACTAAAATCGGTGTCTAATTAAATATTCTTCTCCTTTGATCATCTGATCCATACTACTGCATTTCTCTGTGGTCTGAATCGAGTGGTTTGTAGTCCTAAATCTTAAGCTAGATCAAGCAGGTATAACACTAGTAGATGATATGTTAAATCTCTTAGCCTCAAGTTAGATGAGGTCTTGGTGATACCAATTTAAACCAATGTTTTAGAGGTCAGGAAAATTTCAGGCTCAAAGCATTTAATTGATAACCTCTAGCCCAGCTACAACTAAAGGGTAAAAGTAGAGGTAAAACGGTCCACTTTCCATCTGCCCTTACCAAACACAACGTAAATTCAACCTCCTGGGTCCTATGTTACTATGTTAATATAGAACATCAACATAAACCAGAAGCTAAACGATAAACAGCATCAAAATAGAGAGTTCCCTAACCAATTCTGGTGTCAGTAAGTTTTTTTTTTTTAATAATAACAAGCAACATGATCAATTAAAATTTCCACCAACATGTCACGGAAACTACAGTACAGAAATACTACATTCAATCAATTGTCCTGAAATTTTGTTCCAATTGTAGATTCCCAAAGAAGAGAGCTCCATTCTTTTCCCACAATACTACAAAACTGAAGAGTAACCTCAAGGCAGTGTTTCCTTCTAAGAAATTTCCACAAACGACAGCACTTAGAGACTAAACAACCATTGAAACCCCACTTCGTATTTTGGCTTAAAAACCCAGCAAAGTACCGGCAACCACCAAACTAATCACCGACTTAAAATTGTGACATCATGGCCAATTGAGGTGGAGATAACCAGGATTAAGCACACAATTTTCCATCAGATAATCATAAAATTCCCTATTCTAAACAGCTTCACTACGAAAAATTCAACATTTTGCATACATCCCAGATGTAAAAATGCAAATGAAATAGTACTAGAATTTAACCACCCGAAAACCCATCTCGAAGAAGAACAACCCACAAAAAAAGAAAAAAAAAGATCACATTTTTCGGAATCTAAAACCTCTGCAAAGGAAAACACACAAGACTTACATTGACGAAGCTGGGAAAAAACAAGACTTGGGCACGATTGTTCAAGACATCAACCACAGCTTCTTTAATCCCAGGAAGCCTTTTAATGGCTTTTTCAACAGAGCCAGCGCATGCAGAGCAAGTCATCCCTGTAACTGAGAACAGAGCCTTGGATTCGGAGCCTTCAGCCATGATGTTCTTCTCTTCATCATCGGTGGATGGGAATCTGCCTTTTGGGTACTTGGGCATTGATGGGTAGTGCGGCCTCGGGGACAAATCCCGGCTCTCATTTCTGATGCATGCCGCCAGCGTCAAGAATTTGGCCGCCATGATTGATTAAAAGTTAAAACCCCCTTTTTTCCCCTGTGATCTGTGTTCAGCTTAATTAGCTTTGGTTCTTCGATGATACTATTATAAATTTGAATCGCTCAAAAGCTACACAATTTTAGAGGGACTTTTTGTTTTGTTTCGGTGGGTAAATCGGAAGTTTGAAATCTCATGATTGTGAAATGTGAATTGAGTTTGCGTGATGTTTTTTCAATCGTCACATTAGTCTGTCCATTGGTTTCATTCAAAGTTTTGTTAGTGGATGACGTGAAAGTTGAGACATGATTACACCATCTTTACATCTTAATCAAAGCAAAACATTATCTTACTACTACCGTTTAGCTGGGTTCAAGGTTTTGCTTGCCATTTGTTACTGCTGCTTAACTCCGGTAATATGTTGTTCAAAGGGATACAATATTATATTCACCAAATAGAATATGAAGATTACACGTGAAGTTCATCAATCGTGTTTTGCTTCTCTCCCAGATTCCAACTTGGTTTTATGACACATAATAAAATTGCAAATGTGTATTCATTAATTAAGACGGTCGACTATTTCTTCGACATGGAAAAAACAAATTATGCTTGAAAATGACATCTTAACCCAACCGTCCGCATATGAAAATAATAAACGCCATCTATTTTTTTTTTCTTGTAACCGAGAAATAATCTATCTTCTACATACTATACTAAGGCAAAAACCAAAGAGAGGAATCTAAAGTCAAGAAGCACATGCCACATAGGATAAAAATGCACAAAATAAAACAATAAAAACCAAAAAAAAAAAACGCAACTGAAAAAATTCAAACTCTATATTGATTCGACCAAATCCCTACAAATCCGATGGACGGATCTCTTCTTCCTAAAAAAACGCAACTGAAAAAGAATTTTATTAATAATTTATTAAAATAATTAAAGAAGTTAAGCCAACCTGAAAATTCTATAATTTAGCTTCAAATATGGAATTGAGTTAAAATACTATGGTGATGGGTTGATGTAGCGGGGCTAAGAATGGCTCTGGCAAAGAATAAAAATATTAAAAGGCTTCAATTATGGCTATTCTTTTTTCTTCTTTTTTAATATTTTGAAATCCAAATTTTTAGAAAAAGATCCTCATATCCTACCTTTTTTTTTTTTATTTTTCTTATTAAAAAATTGGATGGCCTCTACAACAGGTTAGGGTTATTGTTACTGTAGTAACCATTCCTTATCATAACCTTTTCAAAAAACAAAAAAAAAATTCCTTATCATAATCTCTTAACCACCCTAGCCAATCTTTCCATCCCAAACTACCAATATAGTATACCAAGAAATATTGCAAAATATATAATTATTTAATTCAAAGTTCATTTTTTTTAATTTCTTAACAATCTTTTTTGTGTTAAATAAATTACCAGTGTATTCGTTTGGTAAAGTGTTGTCGATGTTTGTGTTTTATATTTTTCAATGAATTCATTATATATTTTATAAAAATACAAAAATTTATACAAATATTATAATTTTTTTGATTTGTTTGTGTAGTAATATCTATGTATATGTGCTCCCCGTCCATCGGACGGGTCTAACATCTAGTAACCCACTATTGCAAAAGGTTTAAAAGAGACATAAAAGTATAGAAAAGAAAAAAAATTAATAAACAAAGTATATTATCATTGCAAAAGGTTTAAAAGAGACATAAAAGTATAGAAAAGAAAAAATTAAAAAAAAAACAAAGTATTATCATTTAAAAGAGAAATAATTCGGTCCCCCATAGACCATGGTCTGCAGATGAAGTTTAATGGCATCCATCACTTTGACATGAACCTTTTCCAAATGTAAGGAGTTATTGAGCTCCGAAAGCTAAGGAAAATTAAACACCACCTCAATATGAATTTTTTTTAGAACAAATAAACTAAAAATGAAATTTAAACTAGACAATAATTATGAGATGGATGGAGCGTAAAAATATACATATTCATGCGCTTGCGAAAATAATAAATCATTTATGTACACTTTTAAAAATAAATGAAATAAATCATCATTTTAAAAAAAGAAGGGGAAAAAAAATAATAAAAAGAAGTAGCAAACAGAATAACGGTGGATCAGTAGGGCCTTGAGCGTTGGGCCCTCGATCCAAATAATCTGGGTTTGCTGGTTTACAATTTGACCCAAGCACTTACATCATCATTGATTTTTTTTTTTTTTTTTTATTTGAGAAAGTCAACAAACTAATTAAAGATGATCATCAACATGCTTGGCGATTAAGTTTCCGATCTAGTGAGATTCAGCTAATTAGATAAGGGGAATATTAAACATCAATTAAGGTTGACTGCAAACCTGAATCAATTGGATGGCGATAAAAATATGTTAAACACAACGATGCGAAAACGATATTTACGGCTAACAATTTTTAGTTGAAGAAAATGATAAAGACAATGGAAACAGTTACTTAGCTGAAAATAATATCGTTTTATTCCTCCAAATTAAGGTTAATCTTCGTCTTAAACTACAGAAGTAATCTCAAACCAAATGTGGGAAATAGGGGAACCGTCCAAGTTCATTGAACTTGGAATGTGCACAGTCGACTTTACAATATTACAGTATGATTTACAAAACCAAAAGATAAAAATAAAATAAAATACAAAAAAAAAAAACAGCATTTAACCTAAACACGTAATGATCAATTCTTGACCCACGTCAAATTCTAAGGTAGATGACTAAACGATTTTTAGGAATTTGAGCTTACGTGTAGAACTTATTTAAGGTTAGAATTAACCATATATATATGCACAGTATATGGAAGAAACGACTCTCTCCTTCTCATTTTCATAATCTATTTTATTGAACAGAAATAATGTAATCATCTAAATGAGATGAACCGAATAACATATACGATAATTATGGGATAAATGAACAAACTTAAAAAGAGAAAATTAACGATCGGGAGTTGCACCTTTTTTTTTTAATGTATTACGATAAAATATAAAAACGGTAAGTCCTGAGTAATATTTCCCTTTGGTTGTATGAAATGTAAAAGGAGTGGGAGAGTGAAAAAAAAAACCTGAAAGACAAGTGATGAGAGGACAGGGAACCAGCGAGTGAGTCCTTAAAGCAATTGTATACAAAAGCTTAAAATCCCCAATAGAATGGTGTGTATTGTACATCAACCGTCAATGATATTGAGCAACTTATATAGAAAAAAAAAAAATTATTCGTGAGTTTTGAGGGTTGTTAATTCACGTCAGCTTCGAAGTTCAACATTGATTATATATTTTAGATATTACCCTCATTATTTCACTTTAAAAATCTATTTTGTTACTGTATATTGTTTCATTTTAACAAAGTAAACCACTATAATAATTTTACAATTGTCAATCATGATTATGTGCTTTGACATCAATTTTCGTTTTTTTTTTTAAAAAAAAAGTAACTCATTTGCAAAATCTTTTAGGGAAAATTTCTGAAAAGGGCACGGGAAAGTTCAATATTATTCTTATGGGTATTAGAATTTTTTTATTATTTTTGTAAGTTACTTAAACACAACTAATATTTTATGACACTTTAAAAGACTATTTTATCCTTCTTTTGACACTATAATTATATTCTTCGTAACTTAAAAAATTATAATCAGATATGGGTTTTTCTGTTTCAAGGGTTTCCTCTAAACTATTGAAATTTACGATTTGATTGGAATTGTCTTTTGTTATTTTCTCCTTTTCGATTTAACTTTAATAGTTTCAATTCTCAAGTTTTGATAATGAAAACATGAACTCCGATGAGTTTATAAAAGGATGGGATTGGCAACCGCTGGAAATTCAGGACCCTTCTTTCAAAATACAACTGTCAAATCAAGGTAAAATTTTTCGGTGAAACTTTCAAGGTAATTGCTAAAGAGGTTAAACAAGGATTGATTATTCATCCATCAAATCCTTATCAATGTTGATCTTTGTTCTTTGTTAGTTTCAAGCTGCTGTAGAACAAGGATGTCCAGAATCTTTGTTCTTTATTCATCCATTAAATCTGATTCAATTTAGATGTGTTCAGGGTTGGAAAGAATTACAACTTTAGATCACATGATTGACATATTCAGGACCTTTTGATGTTAAATTGCTTCAATCGGAATCTCATGATTATTTAAATTTCGTGAACGTCATTTTCAGCAAATGAAGGATTTGAAGTTAGAATCATATCAGGAAGATGAATCATGAATAGATCAGAAAACTTATCTAAGAGATGAGTATAAAATAGGGGGTAGTAAACAGTAATTGTTGCTGGTTTAGAGAAAGGGTAAACTAGTCCTTTGGGATACGAGAAGCTAAAAAATGCATTTTAATAGTTATGTTGAGAAATAAAAATACTAATGCCCTTAAAAATAATTTTAATCTTTCACATTCCCTTTTTAATAATTTCCCAATCTTTTAATCTCTCTATTATCATAGGATAATCAAAAAGCCTAATTAATCCATGTCGTCATTGATTTAGTCACCTTAGGTCATTGATTTAGTCACCTAGTTAACTGACCGGAGGATTGATGTTGTTGTTGCTGAATCGATAAGCATGCGCTATAAATTTAAAAAAGTAATGATATTCTTCTCTATTATTTTAATTCTATTTATAACTCTACCTACATGACTATCTTAATTGGCACATCCACGTCATCACTTCATATACTACTCTTTACAATAATATTTTCTTTTGAAAAAAAAAACATAAAACCCATCGTTTATTGTCAAATTTCTTCGGCCAAAGAATTAAAATTCTTCACTCCTCTCACCGACGCCAATCTCTATTCCTCAAAGAAGATTTTCACAATTGAAAATCTGACCCTTCGTGGTTGCCGAATTGAAAAACTGACCCTTCGTGCGGTCGCCAAAAAGGAAGTATTGCTGCTCATTATAATAAGGAGCATCAACATGATAATCCTGGAAAAAATTACCAAGAAAAAAGAAAAAGGAATTTAGAAGAAAAGTAGGAAGAGTTTATAACTTGAGCGCCTGACAATAATAGTAACACAAGATGATTGGGAAACCAAAAATTTACAGAATACCAAAACAATTAAATTGATGAATTAACATCCAAATTAATTAGGGTCGTACTGTTGAGCGCCCTAATTTTTTCATTTGAACGCCCTAAAAAGACGTACACGCTCTTACAAAATAGAATTATATTGGTTTTTTTAAAAAAAAAAAAAAAAGATAAGGTGAGGAAAGAATAAGCCACCCCTTTAAAGAATAACGTAAAATAATCTCGTCTCCCTTTAGAAAACCTTCGCCGCATGAAGGTTACAGGCTTAACAGCTTCCCAGAATTAATTATCCTCATGAGCATTAGCTTTGGAGATGTCCACGGCGCATATTTTTGCAATTCTTCATAATATGATTTGCCCCGCACATACTTCAAAACTGCTGAAATAATTTGCTCCCACGACAAACCAGCATCCATCCTCTTTTTGTTGTTTCAGAGAATTGCCTCCCAAATCCCCAATAACCCTAGCAGTAGCACGGGAAGGATTAGCTTTTTGATTGTAAAGATTTGCTATGAAAAATGGTAATTATTTTTGGAGGAATAGAGACGGGCATCGTTTGAGAATTACTGCCTCCGCCCCATAATTATTGTCTAGTTTGAGTTTTTAATTTCTAGTTCAAATTGTACTAAGAGTGAAATTTCAAACTAGATAATAATTTTGGGACAGAGAGAGTATAAATTTGCCTATGAATGAGGGGTTTAATTTTTATTTTTTGAAAAAATATTATTGTAAACGTATGAGTTGATGACGTG